TGCCTAGCTAAACTTTGAAATGTGTCTAGGTGCTGAGCTCCCTTTGTTTTCAGCACTTGGGGCTAGATGTTGAAAGACACGGAGGACTAGAGATGTAGATCAGCATCTCAATGGGCTTTTCAACAGTAGCAACTCTGATCTGATGTCAATGAGAAGCCCACCACGCACCTACCTACACACTTAGGTACCTAAAGACCATTCAGTATCTGCTCCCACACCCCTTGGGTCCCCGTCTGTAAATGGGGAGCCTAGTGTTTCCCTACCTCATGGGGTGGAGCCGCGAGGACAGATTCGCTGAAGACTGAGGCACATTGCTATGGGAATGCAAGCCCTACGAATGCTTAGGACAGATACAGATCTTAAACTCCTTCTTGCGGTAACATGGAGCTGGGCTTTATTTAAAAAGCAGGCCCTGGGGTAGGCATGTAAGGGAAATGGGCACGGGCATTTGCAAATGTTATGTAGATGCGTGACATGGTCTGTGTGATATTCCCCGTCGAGGAAGTGCGTGGGTGGCTACAGAAGGAGGCATCAGTAATGACTGCAGCTTTCCTTTAAGGAAGGTATAGGAGCCCGTTTACAAGGTGGGGGCGGGGGGTAACAGAGAGGGGCTGAGCGTGTGTGCAGACGGTAGCCTGGCCATTACTTCGGCGCTTGTACTCGGCAGATGCACGCTCTCTCTTGCAAATTCTGGTTCACACAAGGCAGCTCTTGTAAAGATCAGAAGCTGGAGCATGAATCTGGGAAATCTGATTGGAGGATGCCCCATGGGGGAGGCCAGGACCCTACCACATCCTCGTTAGCGCTGACCTTGGCACGAGCGCTGGCTGCTGATGGATAGGCTATGGAGCCGGACAAGACTCTGGGGAACCGCTGTATTATCTATTATTGTCCCATCAGTGCCTCCCCTGACCCCTCCCAGCTCCGAATGCCACAGGCATCAGGGAGAGAATAAATCTATGTCTGATACTGAGAGAGAGAGCGCACAAGAGCAGGAAAAAGGAGAGATGAAAAATGTCCTTTTTATGACTCTTACAACAAAGCTGGCCACATGGTTTATAGAAAACATTGCTCTGGACAGGGGGAGGGATGGCATCAGCAAAAAGCAGAGCGGCTCATCTGCCCAAGAAGCTGGTTGTAAGACTAATCAGTGCTCGTGACCTTCCAAGGTAAGTATCCTGTGGAACAAACGGGCTGCACCGCCTTGGCCTACCTCTCCTGTTCACGGCCCCGTGCCTATAAAATGGGCTGCGCAATATGCATCTGCTGCAAACAGGCGAGTGACACGCTTAAAAGCCTAAGAGAGCTGCCTTGCTGTGGAGAGCATCCAGACTGGGACGTGATTAATAGCAGCGGAGGCATTATTTCCATATTTGTTTCTATTCTGGGTCATCCTAAACAGTAGGAGAGTCTGCAGCGGGCGCCCTTGGAGGATTCCTGACATTGGTGGTGGTAGGAGACGTGTAGGGCTGTGTCAGGTGCAGGGGGGCAGGAGGGGGTCTGGTGTCTGAAATGTTGGAGGCCGCACAGAAAGGCCTCTGTTTTGAAAAGGTCTCTATGCATTACCCGTTGGCAGCTATACTGGAACAGCCTATCCCCCCTGACAGCACAACTGCTACCACCATCTTTTGCCCTTGCAGCGCCCACTGTTACTCTTCTGAAAAAGGAATGAAGAAGCCAGAGGGCAAGTTTGGTGGGGTACAACAGTTGCAATTCCTCCTAGATGAGACGGGTGTGCCATGCAGAAGGCTTTAAGCAGATCCAACAGATCCATGGGGGCTTTACATGAGTGCAGGAGCATAGCAGGCCCTCTGCCTCTCCCTCGTAGCCCCCAAGTGCTCCCAGCGCCTGCGGGATTCTGGGCTGCCGTGCAACCTTCAGGCAGCGTAGGTAGAGCCCCTGCCTTGGTCCAGTATTCGCAAGGTGCAGGGTATCCCCACTTCTCCCGGGTTGCACCTTCTGCGTGATGCCCGAGGAGATGTGACGCCATTTCCAGTCTAACAGAGTCCATGAAAAAATGTAGCTGCATTTGAATAAGATGTTCATCAAAGCAGAGTTTGAGTTCCCAGGGCCTGGAATCGATGCAGGGCACCATATGTTGCGGTTATCTCACCCCTTCTGCCCCCAAACATCTTAACTGAGTGCGCTGTCCTGGTGATCGGCAGCAACAACTGAGATGCGCTGGGAGGGAGGATAGGATCCTCAAACAGAAGTTACACTAAATGTATCAATAATTAACAGCCTTTTAATAGCAGAGTTTTGGCTGCCTGACATCCGCTTCCAGACAGGTCCCGGGCACTCTCTGCCGATATCTCATGCAAGGTCCAGAGATCCCCAACATGTCTGAAGTGCAGCCCGTGTGAATTCTGGATCTGCTTAAAGTCTTCTGTCTCGCACATGGGACATGCCTCTCATCAAGGAAGGATTGCAACCCTAAGCATCAGCAGATACTACCAATAAAACTGAGGGTTCACGTCGTCTCTTCAGGCTGTAATCCACTCGAGCAGAAGGCTGCTAACTGGTGATCTCCAACCCCAGAATAAAGGAAGGCTGTCAGATGCAAACTGGTCCCAACCCTTTGCATTCCTGCCTGTGAAGTGGGAAAGAATCAGCCTTTTTGCCCATGCTGATGGGGTCATTACTTTACCAGTCTTGAAGTGAGTTAAATTCCTCACTTTCTGCCAAAATGGCTGTAACAACTCCTCAGTAGCCCCAGTAATTTGATTTGGTTTATAATGTGCTTTTAAAGTACAGGGGATAAATGCCATCAGTCTGCATAAAAGGTGGCAGGTAAAGAACGGGCAAGATGGGCTATAATAACTTTAAATTAAAAGCTCTCTTTCCCCCCCCTCATCTGCAGCCATGGTGGGGTCTGCAGATTTTCAGTAAAACTTTGGGAATGTGCCTAGATCTCTCTCCAGCAGGCATTTAACCTCCGTTTACGAAGAAATAAAGCAAAATTGATGTTGATTTTGGCCTGCGTTGGGGGATACTTGTGCAGCATAAAAGCCCTTTTGCCTGCAATTTGCCGAGCAGCCCTGTCACATCAGTAAAGGCTGGTACTGATAAAGATAAAGCTTTATAGCTGGGGCATTTGCTGCTAACAGCAAGCTAATGCTGCATTTTCATTTTGATGCAATTAATGTTAATGTCTGCTACGAAAATTGTCATTAAATACCATTTTAAAATCCATTCAATTTGCATATGCAAAGCCCATTTACTATCATGTAAAATACATACTGCCGTTCATCATGTCTTTTCCCTTGAATTTGTAGCTGCTATTTTGTTTTGTTCGTGATTAGATTCATTTTAAAAGCTAGATGGTAATTGCAGAGAGCCCGGCAATCCTACAAGACACAACAGCAGAGGCCAGGCCAGGTCAGAGCGTATTTCAGGGGCTTCTACCACGCTTGAGCCCTTCCTCGATGAACCCTCGCTGCCTATTTAAGGGTGTCACTGTCCAGCTCCCCCTCACAAAGGGCAGAAGTCCAGGAGCTGGTACATTCAGCTGGTGGGATGGAGGTGTGTTGAGCTGTTCATTTTTCCTCTCCCTTAAATCCTTTGTGCTTCTTACCTATAAGGCAGCAGGAGCTCCTCCTGGGCCTCTGTAGATACTTTTTAAAGCAGTCACTGAGTGCACTGGGCATCTCTCCAGCTAGCAGCAAAAGAGCTACAAAGCTTGGAGCCCAAAACAAGCCACAATATGGGCCCTCACTAAGTGGCTTTATGGTAGGATCCTGTGTCCCAGCTGGACTGGCAATGGCATGGGGGTCCAGAGGTGGCTGCAGAGGCAGCAAAGGAAGCATCTAGTGCTTAGCTTAGCAGCCTCTATTTGTGCAAGGGGTTGTGTTGAGCTTTCTGTGATATCCCACTCATTAGAGTGAGGTTGGCAGGGCTTCTCAGCAGCTGGTCTTGGAATTGGTGCCTCCTGGTAGAGAGACAAGAGCTAGTTGCTACATAAGAGTTGTTGCTTCCAGCTCTCTGCAGACTCGGGCAAGAATCGCTGCACTGGTCACATTGACTCCAGAAGCTCAGGCATTGGGCACGAACCAGCAGAGCTCAGGACACAGGGCTGGGCTAAACCTTGCTGTCACGGGTGAGCGCAGGGTCAAAGGAAAGTGCATAGAAATGGTCCCTCCATGTAGCTGGTGGGCATCCCCAAGGCTGGCAATGACTGAAGCCTTCTGGTTTTCTGCATGGCCTTTTGTGGCCCCTGCCAGTGATCAAACTGCTCCGCTCACAACCACAGTGGAGGGACAAGTAGGCTGTGCATAAAATGCAACTATGCTGATAAGACAGCAATCTGCACCAACATGGCAACTGCTTTGTGTGGATGGATGTGACTACACACAGTGTTGTGCAGCAGATCATCCCACTGATCATCTTGGAGACAAAATTACTTGGACTCAGTTGAATGAATTAAAGGAGTGGGACAAAATAGAGTTTTAAAGAGGGCTTCGATTTGTGCCATTCATTTTGGGCGATGCCATTCTACCCCAGCAGTTCACAGGAGTGCATGGCTAACCGCAGGCACACCGGCTAGCTTTAGATACCAGGTATCTGATTTTTGAATATGGTTGGATAGCAAGACATAAAAACACTGATTTAAACTCTGCGATTAGGACATTCTGTGGCTCGAGAAGCCAATATGTAAAATGTAGAGAATTCAGAGTTCAGCTTGTCTTGGGAAAACCATATGTTAGAGCATTTTTTC